GAGAATGTCCATTGAAAACGTGAACTTCAATATCTTTTTCTCCTAGAGACCTGAACAAAGTCCCTTTCCGGTTCAGATACACATGGATGCTGAACTTGGACAATTGCAGCTGCATGAATTCAACAATGATCAGGTAACAGAGGCTCTGCTCCTCGTAAAAGATATAGTGGGAGCTGTAGCCCTTCCTAGTGGTGGTAGTAGTGCTGTCTTCCTGTGTAGAATAGTACAATCCCAGTGTATGGCTAAAAATGTAGATGCCTCTTCTGGTTTTCTGTGGATTGAGTGTGAGATAAGTTGCGGCTCCAGTGCTTGCTCTGAAAATCAAAGTCTTATTAAAGAAATCAAGTTTTCCTGCCAGCTTTTCAGGCATCTTCTCATTAGTACGAAAATAGACACTGGCCACCACTTTCTCCCTGGAATTTTGTGGTTTGCGAACAGCACAGAAATCACTTTGCAGAGCAAAAGGATTATAACTGTAGGAGTCAGACCATTCCTCCAAACCCTGCACATCCACCAGTGTGTAAGCTGTTATTTTGGAGCCGAGGGGTTGGAGAGTCCATGAAAGATTGAGGGTCCTGTGAGGAAGGCTGAGCAGTGTGGAGGAGGTGCTGAACACATGGAGCAGAGTAGGCTGCACATAGAAGCTCAGGCTACGTCCAAGTGGAGGTCCATTCTCAATATGGAGTGAAGCGGTGTAGAATCCACGGAGCTGGTAGCGCACAGTTATGTAGTAGCTGTAATATGATGTACATGCTTGGTGCATTTCTGCATGAGGATAAACAGTAGGTGCAAGTGGCTCGCTATAGATGTTGCTGGGGATGAGGAGGTCTTCAGGAATACCCCCTTGACTCTTGAAGCGGTAACTCCAGGTGGAACTCTTGAGGCGTGCACACCAACCCAGCTGCACTGGTTGCCACTCATGAATAGGTAAAGTACGTGGTGAGAGGAGGAAAAGACGGACATCCTGCCTGGAAATTTCAATTGTCAGGTTCTTATGAGCACATGTGGCTACATGGCACGAAACGGATACACACTGCACTGTGACACGAATAAAAGCCCATGGTGGATGGAGGCCTCCCCGAGTCAGAGCTGCACCTAACACCAGCTCACCTGACCAGCGATTTGTATTCTTTACCAAGATGGAGTCTTGGTACCACTGACAGTGAGGAGGGGGTACCGTGTCCAGCTTTTCCTCCTTGATCTCTGAAGGCAGACTTTGGGCTCTTGAATACTTCAGGTCAATTCTCTCATCCCAGAAGCATGAAACACGAAGTTCGTTGTCATGCTTCTGATAGACACGATGTTGTGGGTTTGAGCAGGTGACCAACAGTGGGGGTGGTAGAAAACGAAAGGGTACAGCTGTTGCATACTGAGAACAGTAACAGAAGAGGAAGACAAGAAGCATCTTTGGTTTGATGGTTCAGGAGCAGCAGCTGACTACCAGCATCAACAGTTCCACACACAATAATTGTTTTAATTCTAGAATCTTTTACTTGTTGCCCCAAGCAACTAAGGTTCATGTGCAATACAGAAGTAACATTTCTTTCTTTATATTCCTGATTCCATATATATATATATATATATATATATATAGTTGATCCTGATCTTTTTAAATATAAAGCAATGATAATGTTTGTGCTGTACAAATGAATAAAAGGTTATGTATATTTACTTGAATAAATTGCTGGCTGTTTGCATTTTAGAAATTCCATAGGCTATTAGAATCATAGAATCATAGAGTTGGAAAAGACCACAAGGGCCATCGAGTCCAACCCCCTGCCAAGCAGGAAACACCATCAGAGCACTCCTGACATATGGTTGTCAAGCCTCTGATTAAAAACCTCCAAAGAAGGAGACTCTACCACACTTCTTGGCAGCAAATTCCACTGTCGAACAGCTCTTACTGTCAGGAAGTTCTTCCTAATGTTTAGGTGGAATCTTCTTCATTGATTTGAAAGTAGCATGCAGTAATATTGCTAGACTCCCACTGGGTCAGAAATTATAAACAGTAAATATAGTCGCCTATTTCCTATACATCAGTACAGTGGTACCTCGGGTTAAATACTTAATTCATTCTGGAGGTCCGTTCTTAACCTGAAACTGTTCTTAACCTGAAGCGCCACTTTAGCTAATAGGGCCTCCTGCTGCTGCCGCGCTGCCGGAGCATGATTTCTGTTCTCATCCTGAAGCAAAGTTCTTAACCTGAAGCATATGTAACCTGAAGTGTATGTAACCTGAGGTACCACTGTATAGGTTAAAATTACCTATAAAATATAGACACTTGTTAGCATCAGCAAGAATATATATTGACATTTTTTAATTTAATTTTTATATGAATTATATGGTTAAAGTTTTAGATGAGTTGAAATTCACTCCTGTTGCTATTTTGTATCAAAAGTTGTTATTACTGATGTATTTCTTTTATCCATGATTTGATTATGGATGAGGAAGCTGAGTTGGTTTGCATTATCAAGACCTGTCTGGATGAGCACGGTGGAGATGGTCTCACCCTGCTTTGCCCACCTGGGTATTCAATGGAGCACTGGGCACACTCTGGGGTCAGATAGAATTTACTGTAGTCTATAGGAATTATTTCTCTCTCCAGGCTTTGCCCTAGAGGGCTTGTGCCTGGTACTGGACAGTTGGTACAGATTAAGGATTCTGCTGGTTTACTGCCTGCCTCACTGCCCAGCAGTCTCCCTGCCTGAGCTGACAGAGATAGTCTTGGAGGTGGAGTTGAGGACTCCAAAACTGTTGGTTCCATTAATTCTGGGGCAGCTCAGGACCTTATGGCTGCTATGCTGAAGTCCTGGCTGACTTGTGGAATACACAAATGCCCTTGGGCCATGATCACTCCTACGTGCCCTCTCCTGCTTTACCTTCTTCTTTTTCTTCTTTGATCACTTGTAGCAGAGTAAGATTGTCTTCCATGAACACAGTATTAACAGTGAGTCCGTTATGGGGTTTTGGAAGATGCCTGTGCATGAATCAGATCAGTGCATGCTGACCACCACACAGTCTTTGCAGTAAGGCTCTGTTACAATATCATGCTGCAGCCTTCATTTGCCTTCACAGCCATTGTAACATATCACTTATCATCTGCCTATTTTGCCATTGAGGACTTCCTGGATCATTCTTTGTCTAGTGCAGGGATAGGCAACCTAAGGCCCTGGGGCCAGATGCAGCCCAATCACCTTCTAAATCTGGCCCGCAGATGGTCCGGGAATCAGTGTGTTTTTACATGAGTAGAATGTGTCCTTTTATTTAAAATGCATCTCTGGGTTATTTGTGGAGCATAGGAATTCGTTCATTCCCCCCCCAAAAAAAATAGTCCGGCCCCCCCACAAGGTCTGAGGGACAGTGGACTAGCCCATGGCTGAAATAGGTTGCTGACCCCTGGTCTAACTCCTTCCCCTTGACCTTACCGCCTTGGGTGACCCTACCAGGAGTACGAGACTCCGGACGGCTTCGCTCACAAGGGTAACAGGAACATTCAAGCCCACTCCCCATGACAAGGTGATGATCCTGCTTTATAGAGCCCATCTGGCTTCTTGCTATACATCAGAGCTAGGGAAATTAAACAAGTTGAGAGACATGAAATATACTCAGAGGCGAGAGTGGATTTCATGCTCTTTATTCAGCTCTTAGTGGTGAGGAGGAATGAAAGTTCCCCCCAAAATCTGCTTTATATACATTATTTACACAATGGGCCGCACGTGATTGGCTAATTCCGGGATTCTCCTGTAAGCCAATCAGGTTGCGGATTCACTTCCATCTGGAGCTGGATTGGGTGGCTCCTGCGGACCAATCATACTGCTGCATTGTTCTAGGACCAATCAGACTGCTGCATTTTGGATCCTATTGTTCTAGGACTGATCAGACTGCTGCATTTTGGATCCTATTCAACTCAGTACATAACAGGACAGATGTAAACAGGGCTTTTTTCAGCCGGAACATGCCAGAACTCAGTTCCAGCAACTCTCAGGCAGCGTTCAAAATTAACTGGGTGCCAGCCCTTTGTGAGGAAATGGAGGTGTCCAGGCGCCAGGTCAGTGCCAGGCTGGTGTGGCTGCAATGACATGCCAGTCAGCTGGTGTGCACAGCACCAAAAGACTCCCCAGCTGAAAGAGCCCCCATCCCGCTCCTGCTTGCCGGCCAGCAGCCTCAGGCAGCCCCACTCTGCAAGCCACAGATGGGGTGGCTTTGCACCCGGGGCCTTGCAGACTTCGCCCCCCAGCCACACGTCAGGTTCTGTGCACTTGGCTAGCGCCGCCTGTTCTGTCTTCGGGGAGTGGGGGGCGAGCGGGAAGAAAGGTAGCTCACCTGCCCCCATGCTGGCGAAGGAAGCCTCAGGAAGGAGCCCCAAGGAAAGAGAGATGGGCTGGCTCATCTGGGGAGCTGAGCAGCAGGCCTGCAAGGCTCTGGGCTGAAAGCGCCTCAGCTCCCGTGGGGAGAGCTGAGGTGGTTTATGGCCAAAGCATGATGTTTGGCTGATGATACATTGTGATGTTGAAAACCTAACATTGCCTAACCCCACCCCCACCCCACCCCCAGTTACGCATTTGCAGCAAGTCACACTGGCATTACACAATTCTCACAACTTTAGAGTTTCACCCTCACAAGGCCACCAAGTTATGGGCCACTGTATTCCTTCCCATACTCCGATGGGGGCCTGACCTTGAAATCCAGACCGGGCAGGGAGAGGATGAAGGCCTCTGCGACAGAATAGCAGGCCATTGCTACAAAAGAAGCTTCCCTAACACCATTGATGAGGTCGTTGTTTCCCTCAGAGCAAAGCCTGAGAAGGAAGCCCTGAGCTCGTTTCCCCCCGCCCGCCCCACGAATCCTGAGAGGCACACGTGTCTGCACCCCACACTTGAAACAAGTGCGCACGCACCTACATTCTCGGCACACTGAAGAAATTCAAGTGGCCCAAATTTAAATGCTTTCCGTTTAAGACAAGCACCGCCAAACTGGGTAATAAAATATGCACTTCCTCCAAAAATAAAAAAGTGAGCATCCTCGCAAGCCACGCCAATCCCGTCAGGAGGACGCGAGGCTCTCACGGCCCCTCGGAGCAGCCGGGCGCCGGACGCCTCCCCGCCACGCCACGCCGGGGTCCGGCCAGCCGCGGCCCCCCAGGCCCGTCCCCCCGGCAAAGCCCCTCTTTCCGCCCATCCCCGCTCCGAGAGGGAGTCGCGAGGGGGCGCCGCAACCTCGCCTTTCGCCACTCCGCGGTGACTTCTGGTTTCCAGGTTCTTTTCCGACGCCGTTTCCGGATTCGGGGCGGAGAGCGAAGCCTCTCTCTCGGCGGGAACATGGCGCATCTCCGCGACTGCCAGGTGAGTGGCGCGGCTCCCACCGGCTTTTCAGTTCCGCGGTGAGAAATGGGGGGCGCGCGGGGGGCGAAGGCGCGGAGAGAGACGGGGGAGACGGAGAAGGTTGGCTGCGCTTGCAGCGCGGATCGGTGGCCAGGGTCCCGCTGCGCTTACTCGAGAGAAAGGGCGGCGGGCGCGCGAGCAGGTGTTCCTTACCCCGTGGAAATGGAAAACTTTCAGCAGCAGCCCTTTGGAAATGCTTTATTTGATGCTACTCAGAAGCAAGTCCTGTTGAATTCAACGGTACTTACTCCCAGGAAATGGGGCTAGGATCGCAGCCTTAATCTGCTCAATGCAGTAGTGATTTTGAATCTTTGTAAATTGAATAATCTGCGTTCAGAAACATAAAGGTTTTACAATGCAGCTATTAACTAAAAAGGCAGAGATAAAACACAACATACTGGAAAATTAAACTGTGGTAAAAGTCCGTGGACATAAAATGTCTTTGTGTTTGGTCATAATTTCTTCCTCAAACCTGCAGAGACAACAGGATAATTGCATGAACTATGTAAGGGCATTTTCACATGAGGCTCAAAGCTCAAAGGTTCTCTTGTCATCCGGTTATACATTGACCGAAATGCTCACTTACACATTTCCTTCTCGTGATGACACTGTAATAGCAGAAGAGAGATTTTAGAGGCTCTGTGGGAAAATGCATTGTTGAACCTTAATACAGTTAATGTTCTGAAACTCCTAAGTTTTAGGCATGATGGGTAAGCCAGCATTGCTTTGGTGGGCGTGATGGTGGGCGGGGCTTCTTCCAGACCAGCCCCATCTTCCGCCTCTTGCCCCCGGGCCCTTTCTCTGCCAGCTGGTGCCTGAGTTTGCTTCTTTCCTCCTCCCTCCCTGTCCCTTTCCCCTTGGCTGCAGCGCAGGACGAAGCTGTCTTGTTTTAATTGATTGTATTCAAGTTTCTCTGGGAGCCTTTTTTGGCTGAAGAGCAAGGGTACAAATGCTCTAAATTATTTTTTTATTTATTAAATTTCAATACCACTCTTCATCTGAGGATCACAGGACAGTTAACAATTCATGTATTTATTAAACTGCTTTGAGATTTTACTACACTCAAGTAGTATATAAAATTTAAGTGTGTGTGTGTGTAAAATTTTTTAAGTGTTTTTCTGTTATGACTTCAGAGTTTCCAGAATTTTAATATTTCTACATCAGAGATAAAGTAAGCAGTGTCTTATGCCTTCCAGGCCTGGCAGGATGCCGGACTTGTTCTTTCAACCACAAGTAATGAGGCCTGTAAAATGTATGATGCTGCCCTGACTCAGGTAGGAAAGAAGAAGAGATTATTGCACATAAAAACAATATTTATTCTAATGGATTACCTTTTGTAAATATTAGATACGTTTTCCCATATATTTTGGAGGGGTGAAGTAAGAAAATTGCAATTACAAATGGGCTGTGTTAGTCTTTCAGGTGTGAAGGGAAAATTCATATCAATAAAGGGAAAATAAAGATCCCCTTTAGTGATAAAATTCCCTTTAGTCTGCTTTTGCTATGCTCTCAAAAAGTATGGAGAAAGGTGAAGGCAATGGCTGTTTGATAAATGAATATTTTTATTGCATTTACATACCACCCTAATCTTCCGAGGAACTCAAGGTGGTGCAGCTGGTTCCCCTCCTCCCCATTTCATCCTCCTCACAACCACCCTGGGAGATGGCAGCTGGGCCTGGTCACCCAGGGAGCTTCATGACTAGCTGGGGATTTCAGCCCTGGTCTCCCAGGTTCTGGATGAGTGGAGTGAGCAGGAGCTTTGCAGTCCTCAGCTGTTTAAGGCTCTATATTTCAAAACCAACACTTTGAATTCAGCACAGAAACTAACTGGCAGCCACTGCAGTCAAGCCAGGATTGGCATTCTATGCTCAAACTCATCTTGCTCTGGTGAGCAACGTAACCCCCAAATTCTGCACCACCTGAAGTTTCTGAACCATCTTCAGAGACAGTCCCAGTTTTCCTCCACTTGCATCCAAGCCTTGCTGTAGCTTGTCTCATTGTCCTAAGTTCTGGAGTATACCAAGGAGCCAAGCAGGCTCTGTGAAATGAGAGAAGTTGCTCATGAACTATAATGTCAGCAGCCTGAGCCATTCAGATGTTCCAGAGGTCGGTCAGGACTTTGGCAAGAGAACCAGTCATAGTAACTGGAAACCCCCCCAGAATCACCTTGAAACCCACCAGATCCATCAGTCTCCAAGGGCAGACCATCCTAATAAGCCCCCTGGCTCTGAAGAGGAAAAAGGGTGCTGAAAAGGCAGTGATCTGACCTTGACAAGGAACTGATGTCCATATCCTCCACTTTCAGATATTATTATTATTATTATTATTATTATTATTATTATTAATTTATTTATACCCCTCCCATCTGGCTGGGTTTCCCCAGCCACTCTGGGCGGCTCCCAATAGAATATTAAAAACACGATAAAACATCAAACATTAAAAACTTCTCTGAACTGGGCTGCCTTCAGATGTTATCTAAAAGTCAGGCAGTTGTTTATTTCCTTGACATCTCATGGGAGGGCGCCACTACCGAGAAGGCCCTCTGCCTGTTTCCCTGTAACCTCACTTCTTGCAGTGAGGGAACCGCCAGAAAGCAGTCAGCGCTGGACTTCAGTGTACAGAATGGACGATGGGGGTGGAGACGCTCCTTCGGGTATAAAAACGTTCCTGACCGGTTGAGAAATCAAGGTTCAGTGTGTGGCCTGCCACATGCAATGCACCAATGACATGTTGAACCAGCCCCATGGTGGTCGTGGCAGCCATGAAGTCCTAAGCCACCCCAGAGACAGTTGCTTCAGTATGGCTGTTGGAAGTCCCCCAAAACCAGCAGTCTGGGAGTGCTCAACACTGCCTTTAAAACCATCTCTGTCAGCTCAGGCAGGGGGACTGCTTGGCAGTGAGGCAGGTGGTAAACCAGCAGAATCCCCTTTTCTGTCCTGGTTGTCCAGTGCCAGGAACACACACTCTAGATTTCCCACCAAGTGTACAAACAGCCTGGAGAGAGAGGGAGAGAAAAATCTCTGGACCACAGTATCTCCTCCTCCCCAACACTCAAATCTGTCCTGATGCTGCTGCCCTAAGTACCCAGGTGGGGACAGCTGGGTGAGATCAACTCTGCTCTGTTCACCCATCCAGGCTCAGTGATGCAGGCTCAGACCAGATGGGCTTCCTCATCCACAGTCAGGTCATGGGTGAGGGAGGTCTTACTCCGAGCCAGCCTGGCATTCATCAACAGACCCAAAGGTTGGCTGACAGGACAACCACAATTGCCCAGGCTGGAGGAGGAGCTGGCACGTGGCACGGGGCACAGTCACTTAACTTTGTCTTTTATTCTGTATGTATGCCAAGCACCTTATTTGAAAATGTAGCGTGGACATTTGCCCACCCCCAACATAAATCTACATTTTTAGCCGTTTCTATTTTATCTGTAAGCTGCCTTGAGACCCAGTCTAGGAAAAAGGCAGGATATAAACAAATTTAATAATACTAATAACTGCCTGTGCCATTTGCCCCTTACCCAGCCTGCACCCCCTCCCACACCATAACTCCCCCTACCCTGAACCACTGCAATTGGGGGACCTCCCTGCTCTCCCCAACACGAGATCTCCTCTCATTCAATAAAAACAAACAACAACACACCCACCACACAAATTGAAAAGAGTTAAAACAATTGAAGCAGCAAAGCTTCCATGTACAGCAATAGACATACTGCAGTCAGGTCAGGAACAATCTTTTTTGCCCTTCTTGCCTTTGCAGGGAAATGCAGTGCTCAGCCCCCCTCCCCCGCCCCCAGTAGTATCTTAGTTCCCGGAATCATGAGCTCAACTCAGGAATAATTGGACTTATCTGTCCCAGAGACTGGATTAACAGAATTCAAGTTGGTTAGTAGTTCTGAATTCTGTATACTGTATTAATGGAACTAAGAAAATCACCTTAAGAATATTCCCGTGGATTGCCACATGAGCTAGAAGCGGAAATATATTAAATTTGTTTTCTGCTTAATGTAAGATTTACTTGCATGAGATGATGAAAAGAAACTTATCTCTTCTTGGATTCTTAACCAGTGTATTGTTTGTATTTCTTACAGTATGTGACCTGGAAAAATGATAATAGTTTAGGGGGCCTTGAAGGAACTTTCTCAAAACTACAGGCAGCTGACCCTAATTTTTGTAAGTAACAAAACGACTTCAGTGCATCTTTGTGTGCCCTAACGTTGTTTCCTTGTAGAAAATGTGAAGAATTGGCCCAAAAAGTGTGTGAGAGAGAGAGGTCGGAGGGGAGAGGAAGGGAGGGAGGGAGGTGCAATGCTTATTTTCTTTGGGACCACCGATGCCCATAATGGTTGAACTCAGACTCAGCTGGCCCCTGGGCTCATTCATCTGCCTACCCATCCTCTCTCCTTCAGAAACTTATGCATTCAGCTTTTAGTTACCTGAGATTTGTCATTTCATCTCAACAGAAAAAACTTCTCTTAACACTATATATGGTTACTTTAAAATAAACTTGCATTGTAAGCCATGATTTGAATCTAGATTGGCCAGTTTCTCACCATAGTCGGATCTTAAGTTTTGTTTTTCTTTTAAAAAGAAGAAAAGCTAATGTTTCTAGTCTTCATGGGTTCAAATATATGATGAAAAATACTTTGGATGTGATTCTTGGAGGTAAATGGATAGAACTTTTTTTTATTTTACCTGGCCACCTTCTCTGTATTGACATCAGGCGGGTTCCCTTACTTTACTCTTTTTGGAACCTGTCTAAAACATTTCTGTTTATGCAAGCCTATCCACATATGTAAAAGTTGAGGTTAAAACACATCTTTTAAACCTCTTGTTGATTTGAACTATCTTTTTTATTTAAATACCTGTTTTTAACAGTCTTTTATTGATATTTTTAATGTTTTGTTTTTATTCTTTGTAAACCACATAGAGGTTCATTACAATCAGGCTGTCTGTATAGTTGAGAAAATAAAGAAATATGTTTGAGGAACAACCTATTATATAACTAAAAGATGACTATAGCTTTTATTTGTTGAGGGCCCCATTTTCTTGGGCAATCTTTTGAGGGCTGCATGCCCGAGCCCAAAGCAACTGGGAGCGCTCCCTTCTCGCTTTCTTCCTCTCTCCCTCTTTCTGCCACCCCTTTCTCTTCCTGCCCACCAAGGAGTTGCCAGCGGACACACAGATCACTCCTGTAATAAGTCTGAATTAATAATTTCCAGAGGGCTTGCCACCCTTTCACTCCATCACTCCATCAGTTTTGACTTCGTCCCCACTCCTCTCCTTCCAGGCTCCTCCTAATCTGCATGAAATTAGGTAAAGGACTGCAGGTTTTGTCCACTGATATAATCTTTTACGTAAAGTTTTTACTTCTGACTTTATCTGCAGTAATGGGTCATGTGATTGCTAATGGTTTGGTTCTGATTGGTACTGGGAGTTCACCTCGACTTGACAGAAAACTAGATGGTGCAATAAAGAAAATGGTGGCACTGTCACAGTCTCAGCCATTGACTGAACGAGAGAAATTACACGTTTCTGCATTGGAGCTCTTTGCTAATGGGTAAGTCTTTGGTTTTTAGGCAGTGAAGTTGGAAAGCTTTTTTGCCTTTTCTGTAAAAACTAGCTCTCAAAATCTGCAGAACAAGCAGTTTATTTTCATTTTCTAAGGGGCAATGTCTGTTGTAAAAAACTTGATTTGGTGTACCTGCCAGTGCTATTTTTCTAGAAAAGGAGGTGCTGGAACTCACCATGAACACCTCCCTCGTTCTTTCAGAATGGCAATGTAGCCCACCTGAGAGGGGCCAGAACTGAGTTCTGGCAGTTCTGGCTGAAAAAAAGCCCTGGTACCTGCCCTCCCTACTTTCCTTTAAAACATTTCTGATTTTGCTTTTTTTCCTTTGCCAAACAATAGCTTTGCAACATCTACCCTTGGACCTAAGGCATAATGTTTTATATATATATATATTTCAAAAAAAATATTATTTTTCCACATTTTTAAACAAACAAACAAACACAAATCAAAACTGAACTTAGTCCAATATTAATATCATAGTTAAATGACTTCCTCAAATTCCCTTGACTGAATTTCATTATATAACATTGTAACGGTTTTCCAAGACAGTTTCTCATAAAATTTACTTACTCCTTAACATCTTTGTCTCTTTTCATCTTAACTTTAAACATATTGTTTTATAATTTCACATATTTAAGTCCTTAGCCTATCTGTTATTTTGCAAGTATTTCTGTTTAATTTATCTTAGCATATTTCGATAAACAGTCTTTAAATTTCTTCCATTCTTCCTGATGTTCCTCCTCCTTCTGGTCACTGATTCTTCTGGTCAGGTCGGCTAGCTCCGAAAAGTCCATCATCTTCATCTGCCATTCCTCCACTGTTGGTATTTCTGGTGTTTTCCAATTTTTGGCTAATAAAATTCGAGTTGCAGTTGTGGCATACAAAAACAGTCTAGCATCTTTTTTGGGCAATTCCAAACCTATTATTCCAAGAAGAAAGGCCTCTGGTTTCTTAACAAATGTATATTTCAACATTGTTTTCAACTCATTATAAATCTTCTCCCAGAAGTCTTTCATCTTGGGACAGGTCCACCACATATGGTAAAAGGTATCCTCCTTTTCTAGGGGACGCAGGTGGCGCTGTGGGTAAAACCTCAGCGCCTAGGATTTGCCGATCGCATGGTCGGCGGTTCGAATCCCCGCGGCGGAGTGAGCTCCCGTCGTTCGGTCCCAGCTCCTGCCCACCTAGCAGTTCGAAAGCACCCTTAAGTGCAAGTAGATAAATAGGTACCGCTTTATAGCGGGAAGGTAAACGGCGTTTCCGTGTGCTGCGCTGGTGCTGGCTCACCAGAACAGCTTCGTCATGCTGGCCACGTGACCCGGAAGTGTCTGCGGACAGTGCTGGCTCCTGGCCTCTAGAGTGAGATGAGCGCACAACCCTAGAGTCTGGCAAGACTGGCCCCTACGGGCAGGGGTACCTTTACCTTTACCCTCCTTTTCTTCACATTTCCAGCATAGATTATCACTATTGTGATAAATCTTTGCTAACTTTACAGGAGTCAAGTACCATCTATACATCATTTTCATATTATTTTCCTTTAACATTGTACATGCAGTGAACTTGACCCCTTTCCTCCACAACCTTTCCCAATCTTCAAACATTATGTTATGTCCCACATCTCTTGCCCAATCTATCATCACAGATTTAACTTGTTCATCCTTTGTATGCCACTCCAACAATAAATTATACATGTTAGACAAATTTTTAACTTTAGAATCTAACAACTTCATTTCCAGTTTAGTTTTTTCCAAAGCAAAACCATTTTTCTTATCTATTTTGTACAATTCATTAATCTGGTGATAATGTAACCAATTTATTTTATCTTTGATTTGGTCAAATGATTTTAATTTAAATCCTTCATTATCTTCCAATAACAAATCTGAATATCTCAACCACTTGGATTCCATATTTGACTTTTTCTGGGCCTTTGCCTCCATTGGCGAAAGCCATCTGGGTGTTTTCCTTTCTAGAAGATCTTTGTATTTAATCCAAACATTATATAGAGATTTTCTAATCACATGATTTTTAAAGCCATTCTGGGCCTTTACCTTGTCATACCATAGATATGCATGCCATCCAAACACATTGTCAAATCCCTCCAAATCTAAAACATCAGTGTCCTCTAGTTGTATCCATTCCTTAATCCAGCAAAAAACTGCTGCTTCAAAATACATCTTCAAATATGGAAGGGAAAATCGCCCTCTTTCTTTCGAGTCCGTTAGTAATTTATATTTGATTCTGGGTTTTCCCCCCTGCCAGATAAATCTAGATAGTGCTTTTTGCCATTCTTTGAAACACTTCACATTATCAATAATTGGTAGGGCTTGAAACAGAAACAACATCTTTGGCAATACATTCATCTTAACTACAGATATCCTGCCCATTAATGACAATTTCAAACTCGACCAAATCTCCAAATCTCTCTTAATTTCATTCCATAATTTCTCATAGTTATCTTTATATAGATTCAAGTTTTTCACCGACAAATTGACCCCCAGATATTTAACTTTTTTCACAAAGACTAGGCCCGTCTTTTCTTGTAATAACTTCCTTTCCTCATTGTCCATAAGGCATAATGTTATAATGCTATTTGGTAGCCCTGTATAATGAGTGAAATAACAGATGATGTTTCAAATTAAGTTCTTAAACAAAAAATATATTTTCAAGGGTCTAACCTGCTTCTAGCTTATTGTTGTTAATTGTATGGAATCCCATCCACAAATGGTAGCTCTCAACACTTAGTGCCATTAGTTTTAGTTGCTCCCTTCAGACACAGAGGGATTAGAAACAGTTCCTTTGGGCTACTTCTTTTAACATGTAGCTCTTAAAATTAAGTCATACCTGTGCTTCTTGTGTCCCACAAGGACATACACAGCCCTCCAGCCACCCATAGGAGCCTGCTGGCATCTCCCCCCCCCCCCCGGCACCTGGCAGGCTGCCCTAGGTGGGTGGTGGCCTGGGTCATAAGCTGTGCAGGCTTGAGTAAACAAATACAGTGGTGCCCCGCAAGATGAACGCCTCGCAAGACGGAAAACCCGCTAGACGAAAGGGTTTTCCGTTTTGGAGGCGCTTCGCAAAACGAATTTCCCTATGGGCTTGCTTCGCAAGACGAAAGCCCATAGGGAAATCTCCGGGGACCTCTTTTAAATGCTAGCGGTGGGGAGCAAAGCCTTCCCCTCCGGCCTTCAGATGCGGTCCAGGATGGGTGGGGGGGGCCGAAAGGCTTTGCGCCCCACCGCCAGCATTTTAAAAGCAGTCCGGGATAGCAGGGAAGCGCTTCCCGCTATCCCGGACGGCTTTTGAAGGCAGGAGAGGTCCGCGAAGCCTGGGCGCGCTGATCTCAGCGCGCGCAGGCTTCGGCATGCCGGCAACTCTCCGCAAGCAGCGGCAGCGCTGCCGCTGCTCGCGGAGAGGTCCGCGAGCCTGGGCGCGCTGATCTCAGCGCGCGCAGGCTTCGGCATGCCGGCAACTCTCCGCAAGCAGCGGCAGCGCTGCCGCTGCTCGCGGAGAGGTCCGCGAAGCCTGGGCGCGCTGATCTCAGCGCGCGCAGGCTTCGGCATGCCGGCAACTCTCCGCAAGCAGCGGCAGTGCTGCCGCTGCTTGCGGAGAGGTCCGCGAAGCCTTGGCTGGACAGCTGTTGAAGGCAGGTGGGGGGACAAGACTTTCGCCCCCGCCAACCTTCAGAAGAGGTCCAGGACCTCTTCTGAAGGCTGGCGGGGGCAAAGTCTTTGTCCCCCTGCCTGCCTTCCCAGGGGCTTTAAATTGCCCCGGACAGCGGAGAAGTCCTCCGCTGTCCCGGGGCAATTTTAAATGCCGCCCGCCAGCATTTTAAGATCGCCCGGACAGCGGAGAAGCCCTCCGCTGTCCCGGGGTTTTTTAAAATGCTGGGGTGGGTGGGAAGAAAAGCCCTTGTCCCCCCCCCCCAGCCTTCAGAAGAGGTCGGGGGACAGACTGTCCCCGGACCTGGTCTGAAGTCGGTTTCCCTAGGAACGCATTAATTGATTTTCAATGCATTCCTATGGGAAACCGTGCATCGCAAGACGAAAAACTCGCAAGAAGAAAAAACTTGCGGAACGAATTAATTTCGTCTTGCGAGGCACCACTGTAGTAGTTCAAAAAAGAAAGTCACAAGTAATCAGTAATTAAATATGGGAGATCTCATTCACATTATTTAGCAGCATTGTACACCTTTAAATATAAGAATACTGGTTTATAGTATGAAAAGGTCTTGCACGCAAACCCACAAAAGTTACCAGTGGTGCAAACAACTTTTACTAACCCTCTTGTCCAAACAAGGTTATAATCTGTTGGCTAAAAGGACGGGGGGAAATACATTATTTATTGCAGCATTTCTTCCTGGTTATCTGCGCGAAATAGGCACCAACTATGTGAACGGATATTTATACGCCTTGAAGGATATTTATATGCCTTGGGTTTTTCCCCTGTGTAGGCAGCTCCCAAAAGCTTGTGACACCTGGGATCAAATCCTGCAGAACCACCCAACTGACCTGTTAGCCCTCAAATTTGCACATGACACTTATTTCTACTTGGGACATCAAACCCAGATGAGAGACTCCATTGCTCGAGTCTATCCTTATTGGACACCAGACATTCCTCTTAGTAGGTAAGATCATTTTGCTTCTGCTGCGCTCTCTGATTCTACTGCATGCTCAAATTCAAGAACCTCAGATAAGAAATATTATCAGATCTTGCAGTCCAACTTATTTGTTTATTATTTTAAAACATGTTTACCCTACTCTTCAGCCAAAAAAGGTGTCCAGATCAGTCTACAAGTGTACAATCTAAAAGTACATGTAAATCAACACACCTGGATTTTAGAAAAAGATTCATAATAAGAAGCTCAATTTTCAGAATAACTGTCCCCCCGCCCTAGTACTAATATTCTTAAGCAAGTGAGACCTGTGACAAACTGGAGGGCTCCCATTCACTGTTCCCATCAGTCATCTGCATCCTCCTCCATGGTAAACAATTCCATCCCCCATGGTTTTGTAAACCCCACCTGACAACTGTTAATCTGCATCCTGATCCCACATAATCCTTTCCTCATTGAGCTGTTTCCCACCTAAAGTGGTTGTTGTTTGAGGTAAACACAAATACAAACAGTTCCCTGAGCCTTACTCATACCTCCCTCTTGTGTGTGGTTGGTGCTGTTTACCTACATAATGGTTGGCACTTGCCTTTGAACTTCAGAAATGGAGGGGAAGACTCTAGAAAGAAGATCTGAGGCTGAGAAAATAGAAGGCTTGTGTGTAAGGTGCCTGGCAAGCATTGTCAGTCTCCATGCAGCTCCTTGGCCAGTCGGATGCAACACGGAGGCCTTGGGACTGGAGAAGGACCTACATGCAAATGCCATTCATCCTAAGGAAGCAGAGAGCACCCAGCAGCTCTTTAAAGGTCAGTGTCAGCATCCAGCCCAGGTCCCAGCAGGGAAGAGGAGGACCATGAGAAGAGACGAGGAACCCAGGAGAGCAAGGAGACAGATATGAGGGGAGAAGGCATATGGAAGGGTCTGTGGCTGTTTACTTCAGAGAAGAGAGGAAAGACTGTCAGGAAAATAAACTATATAAAGAACCAAACATAGTAGGTGTCCTGTGATAAAAGGATGCGACCAAGTAAGGGACTCCCTCAAGGGTCCTCTGAGTACAAGAGACCACCTGGGGTTCTGAGGAATCCAGGACCAGAGGAGGGCTGGAGCTGACACGCTTTACAGACTGAAGTGAAATTTGGACACATGCTCTCGTGTGTTAAGAATAAAGTGTCGATTCCCTGAATATACTAATTTCTAGTGAGAACCTGTTGCAAATGCTAGTTCTTATGTAGTTTCATCAAGTAAAATTCTCTTTTTTATTTTAAGGTATTTATCAAGGTGCTATTAAGGAATCTCATATTGACTGTCAGTTTTTACTTTTTCTGTTTAGCTACTTAAAAGGCATGTACTCCTTTGGACTGATGGAAACCAATTTCTTTGATCGTGCTGAGAAGCTTGCCTATGAGGTAAAAAATAAAAAGGCTGAAATATGGGGTGTTCAAGTTATTTTTTGTGTAGGTGAGTGAGAGAGGTAATTGGTGGTAAGCTGGGTAGTTATTACGGCGGTTCATAAAAAACTTTTTTTTAAAAAAATGCCTGCTCCAAAGATCTCATCTTACTACACTAGGGATTATATAGCTATATACGGTCTTCAAATAAAAACATCTTGAAGGTCCCAGGCCCCAGAGAAGTTAGGCTGGCCTCAACTAGAGCCAGGGCCTTTTCGGCTGTGGCTCCGATCTGGTGGAACACTCTGTCACAAGAGACCAGGGCCCTGCGGGACTTGACATCTTTCCGCAGGGCCTGCAAGACAGAGCTGTTCCACCAGGCCTTTGGCCAGGGCACAGCCTGACTCCCTCCCTCGGCAATCTTCGCGGAGCTCTGGCCCAATGGTTGCCAGTGGCTTGAATTAATTAATTTTATAACGAATGATTTTAGACTGTTGTTTATGCTGTACTTTTGTACTGTTTTATTGTTGTTAGCCGCCCTGAGCCCGCCTTCAGCTGGGGAGGGCGGGATATAAATAAAATTTATTATTATTATTATCTGAAATTTCATGCATATCAGTTAATATCTTGACCCTCCTCCACAAAAATAGCTGTTTATTTGGCCATTTCCCTATGTTGTGAAGGCTGAAATTTCAATTCAGTGGAGCAGGGTCAAGGTATTAAGTGATATGCATGAAATTTCAGATACAGCTATATAATCCCTAGTGTAGTAAGATAAGACCTTTGGAGCAGGCATTTTCAAAAAAAAAGTTTTTTATGAACCGCCCTAGTAGTTCTAGTAGTTATGCCAGTCTGGCCCATCAAGAGCTAAAAGGAATAGTTTTTTGGCCTCTTTTGAGATTTCCTGGCTTCCCCAGTTTATACTGCCAGGAAAAGGCACAGCTTGGGAGATATTGCAGACAATATTTTCATTTCCTTATCTCACGCAACCTCGTTTTGCTATTCTGATGTCCTCAGTTTAAGTGACTTCCTCATAGGTGTCAACGGACTCTTCCAGAAACATTCTAGAATCCTTTTCACCTGCTCCTCGTTGTGGTGTACTAGCCTAATATTCTTCAGTTGCATCTGGAATGACCTTTCCACCATGTTACTCAACCAAGAGGAAACCAAGCCAAGTGTTATTTATGCTTTTCTAGCAACAGAGCACATTAGCTAACAAGTACAATTTTTTCCTATTAACCTTTTGTTAGGCTTTAGCTATCAACCAAACAGATGCATGGTCTGTCCACACCATAGCTCACGTGAACGAAATGAAGGCAGATCTGAAGAGTGGGCTGTCATTTATGAAGCAAACTGAAAACAACTGGAAGGTAAAATATATTGCTTTCTGAGGTGGTTGCTCACACACTCTCATCCTGAAAGGCCTGCTCCATGGCACGTTCTTCCGCATAGCAAGTTATCTTCCTATATACATAAAAATGTAAGGCTGCCACCATGCAGTCCAGATTGTAGTACAGTGGTACCTTGGGTTACAGACGCTTCAGCTTACAGACTCCGCTAACCCAGAAATAGTACCTCGGGTTAAGAACTTTTCTTCAGGATGAGAACAGAAATCATGTGGCGGCGCAGCAGCAGGAGGAGGCCCCATTAGCTAAAGTGGTGCTTCAGGTTAAGAACAGTTTCAGGTTAAGAACGAACCTTCAGAACGAATTAAGTTCTTAACCCGAGGTACCACTGTATTTGTGGTGCCTCGTCACAATCTTGGATTTGCATTAAGTCTGCATGGGAGAGGGGAGTAAAAGAGAAGGCATGTTTAAAATGGTGGTATAAAACAACAATAACGGTTTGAATCAAGCAGAGATTTGAATAAAGGAAACAACGAGCAGCAAAGTGGTGATTTTAAACAATGGCAGAGGCGTGAGTAAAGGGAACAAGGTTGTGTGCACAGCAGTTTCAAACAAGGTCTGTGGTGCTGTTCTGTATTTCTGAGCTGTTTACTGCCTTGAGACCTTTGGATGAAGGGCGGGATACAAATTTAATTAATAAATCATGATGATGATGATCCGAAGAAGGGAACTGGGGAAAGGTCTTGTGGCGATCACACAGGGTTACCGGACGTTTGACGGTCTATTGATCCCTGTGCCACCACTGTGATTGCTTCTCCGCTGCCACCAACCCCTTTCTCTCGGGTACACACGGAGTACAGACAGTTGTTAACATTAAACCAAATAAACAAGTTTATTTTATAAGCATGAACAAGTTTATGGTTTCAGATAATTTTTCTTGTCAGTTTCTTAATCTTAGTTTCTTTACTGGCCTATACCTTCCTAATAACTTTTAACTGATTATCCCAACTGTCTATCTGACTCCTCTTAACAGATTCTCTCACTCTCTCACATCAAACTACCCCAACCCACAGACTTATCCTCCCTCTCTCTTCTCTAACACCCAACTCCTTCCCCAACAACACTAACTCTAACTCTAACTCCTCCCCTTGGGTTCCCACTTGTCAATCACTTCACACTCATTTAACCCTTTCCTTAGGACCCAGCATGTTGTCACCTAGGAGGGCAAATGCCATAGGTCTGTTTTGTTCGCTTCAAATATTCCATAGTACCTTCGTACAATCTGGTTTTTCACTCCTGGTACCATGTGTTGTCTTCCACATGAAGTTCCAGATTCAGTGTAGTAATTAGAGATAGTTGATTAACAAGTGACTGAACTTGACTGAACTTGATCTTCTTCAACTGAATAGGTTAATTGACAGGCTTGCTCTTAAAAATCTATTCATCTTGAAAATACAGTAGCTTGTGTAAGTGTGTTGTATGTGTGTTTGTGCAAAAGAGGCTGCATGGAGAAGGCATGGAAATAAGGGTGATCTGTGTGCAAGGGAGAGTTTGAAAAAAAAAGGAGGATGGAAGAAGTAGGGGTGAAGGTGATAGTGCTTTGTGTGCTTAGTCACTGCATGTGGTGGTGGGGGAGGAGCTCTAGGTGATTAATGGGAATGGCATGGGGGGTGTAAATGGAGCTACGCTTTGGGTGCCTTGTCATTCTGAGGTAAGTCAGAGACAAAAGGGCCTTTTCAGATTGTAATTTGGGGTGCTCACATGTATCTTTTGAAAAGATGGCCAAAACCTTTCAATTTCAGAGAACTTCTGGGAAACCTGATTAGTTTCCCTGTTCTTATACCTTGTTGTTTGAAATGGGGCATTGTGTTGGAACATGTTTTTCATGGAATTTTTAATTCAAACTTTCCTATGGATTTACATTTTTAATAAGGAATTAAGCACCACATGTTTTGAGAACTGTTGTAGTCAAGAATTCTACTCATATTGATCCAGAGCAGCTTCCAATATATAGTTAACAGAGTAAAATTTGAAACACATTGCAGTTTTGATTCCCAAAAATATATACCGGGGGCAATTGTGTTTCATCCAGCAGAGTTTTAACTGCTGCTGAAGGCAGATGAGCATAATGGTCACAAATCCAATACATTCAGGATTGGCACTGCCCATAGGAAATCCAGCTGCAGCAGACTTAACTTAAACTTACAATAACTTATAATAAGAGTAAAACATTAACACTAAGCATACTATATACAGAACATCACACCAGAATAAAAGAGAGATAAAGTGAAACCAGGCTCCTTCTGGCCTCGAGCAGGACCTTGAGTGAAAGAGATAACAGAACCAGTTTAAACCAGCTGTTCAGCTTCTCTGAAGGAATAACCTAAACATCAGGAATCTTCTTCCTCTTTCTAGGCAGAATAGAACATGGGTAGGCAACCTAAGGCCGGGGGCCGGATGCGGCCCAATCACCTTCTCAATCCGTCCTGCGGACGGTCCAGGAATCAGCGTGTTTTTACATGAATGTGTCCTTTTATTTAAAATGCATCTCTGGGTTATTTGTGAGGCATAGGAATTCTTTCTTTCTTTTTCAAAATACAGTCTGGCCCCCCACAAGGTCTGAGGGACAGTGGACCGGCCCCCTGCTGAAAAAATTTGCTGACCCCTGGAATAGAAGCTTGCTTGTCAGCTAGAAACTTCCAGCTTGTATCACACAGAGAAGCTTCCAGAACACTCTTGATCTTCAATCAATTAGAATAGGATTAATACTTTCTTCACCAAATAGATCAATATTTTCTTCACCAAAAAATGCAAACTGACATACTGAAGGTATTGATAGACAAGGCAGTATTCTCTCAACCTCAGTCCTTTCCATCAGTCACATGAAAATTGGCCTACCCTACAGGGGTGTAGGAGTGCCTGGTGTGCTGTGGTCCAGAGGGTCACGAAGAGTCAGACATGACTAAATGACTAAACAACAACACAGGGTTAGTGGAAAGATTATGGCTGCCAGAGGTCTGGAAGAGGTCACCAGCTCCTCAGTGGGCCAGGCTGAGTCCCTGAGCAGTCCCTAAGCTGACTGTCCTTATTACAGAGTTTCCTGTGGCAGCTCAGGACCTTGAGTCCCTTCTGTTTTTGCAGTTCTATGATTCTAGTTTGTTAATCCTTATTTCATATTCTCAGGTCACTGTGTTTGCCAGGTTCCAGTTCTAAGAATGAGATGCTTTATTTAAATTAGCTATTTGTTCCCAAATATAGGAAAGTTTTTTTCCTCTGGCATGCTTTAATGTTTTGCTCTCAAAACCTAATTTTGATCATTATATTGGAGCTCTCTATTTTTTTCATTACATTGGTACCTCGGGTTAAGTACTTAATTCGTTCTGGAGGTCCGTTCTTAACCTGAAACTGTTCTTAACCTGAAGCACCACTTTAGCTAATGGGGCCTCCTGCTGCCGCTGCGCTGCTGCTGCACGATTTCTGTTCTCATCCTGAAGCAAAGTTCTTAACCTGAGGTACTATTTCTGGGTTAGTGGTGTCTGTAACCTGAAGCGTATGTAACCCGAGGTACCACTGTACTAGCCAAGTCTAAATGCTAGAGTTTCCCTTAGACAATCTATGATTACTTTCTGATGTTAACATTCTGTAACTTTTTAATGGTAGACCATTAAAAAACTATGTTTAACATTTATTCATCATTCTTTCATCTTTTCCAGGATAGCGACATGCTTGCTTGCCATAACTACTGGCACTGGGCTTTGTATTTTATTGAAAAGGTATGTGGATGCTTCTGTAACTGTATTGAGTCTGCAAGAAAATCCTTTCAATACATTTCATTTGCTGCTATCCTTTCACCTTTCATCCTTTGACTACCCTTACACTTAAGTTCCTTATCTCATTTTAGTTTCTTTAATATATTTGTTTCTCACATTCACACAAAAATTGTTACGGACAGAGAGCATTGACATTTTTCTTCGTACTGGATACCTGACTTGAAGTTTTCTCATACTTGGGAACAAGTACACTACCGCCTCATATTTTGCACTCTCTCATCACCTCCAACCAGTGCAGGAATGTGATAAATTATTCTTTACAGCTGGGAAAACCAGATAGTGATCCATGGTGAGGTCAAAATATTTGCTAGGGTCTTTAAATTCTTTTCTGCCCTGAATGCTCTGCAGAATGACAGGGTGTCTCTTGTGTCTGTCTACAGTTAGAGACTTTAATTAGTAAGAAGCAGTAAATTTGATCTCCAAGCCAACTTCCTTCCGTTTAAGTGCTCAAAGCAATGTATAATTATTTTATGAACATATAGAACTCATTTGAATACAGTAAAACCAATGGCAACACAGCATGATAACACGCGATAGCCCATTTCTATAGTAAGGTTGTGTCTGCCTGCGAGTCACTTGCAATTATCTTCGCTAAAATCAGCTGAATGAGGGTTTAGAAAATGAAGTGCTTCCATACCATTCTGCAGCACTGCTCAGGCTAAATGGGCATGAACCTTCAGCAGATGCCATGGGAAGCCCCATTAGAACAACACATGAAGGAGCAACTTGTGGGTATGGCTATAGATCATGGTATGGCTTTTCCTCTCCATGGGGAGCTGCACTCCCTTGGGGATAATCTACTGCCAGGGACTGCATTCTGGTGGCAGACAGTACCTTGGGTTGTATACCTCAACACCGAAGCAGCTGTTTTCCTGGGGGCAAAGGGTGGTGACTTTGTAGCCAATGTGCAGTGCCCCCCCCCAACAAAACTGCATTTTCTCTTACCTGCACATTTAAAACATGTTTCAGTTTGTCAGAAATCTGATACAGTAGTACCTCGGGTTAAGTACTTAATTTGTTCCAGAGGTTCGTTCTTAACCTGAAGCTGTTCTTAACCTGAAGCACCACTTTAGCTAATGGGGCCTCCCACTGCTGCCGCACGATTTCTGTTCTCATCCTGAAGCAAAGTTCTTAACCCGAGGTACTATTTCTGGGATAGCGGAGTCTGTAACCTGAAGTGTATGTAACCCGAGGTACCACTGTAGTCTGATTTATTGATCCCAATGCATGGTTAATTACAGAAGTTACAATATGATGAGTTGACTGTTTGCAAATGCACGAATAAAATGAAATCCTCCTTGTTCTTGTAGGGTGACTACGAGGCTGCTTTGACAATTTATGACACTCATGTAAGTATGAGCAGCATCCTTAACAGACACGTGAAACCATATTTGTGCCTTTCCTTCTGCTGTATATAGGCTGGCATTTTCACTCCCCATTAAAATAACTATAATTTCAGCACCAGGAAGAACATATTTTCTCAGAACTAAGTCCTGGCTTCAAGGGGAATTACACTCTGGTAGGTGTGTATAGGATTGCAGGCTCATGCTTGACTTTACAACATTAGCCAGATACAACATAATAGATGCAGATTTGATAATCCAGCCTACTTTGTTGCAGAATTTGAGCCAATTTGGTACATTTTTAAACAGTGTTTTAGCTCAGAATATACATAGCTCTGCTTTACAACCTTGATTTTGTAAGATGAAAGCACAGTTCAAGTGTTTTCGGGGGCTGGATAGTTCATCTGCTTTGAACTCTCTTGAGTTTGCACTAAAACGTTGTTTCTGATAGTTGAGATGCACTCTTTTTTCTTCTGAAGTAAATTTGGAAGTATTCTTCATTGTTGCATTAGAAAGGTTTACTCTGGGAGTATGTAACAGAAGGAAATAACTCCTTGTAGAAATTATTGCTCTGGACATTCATTCTGATTGAAAGAAGGCAAACTCAAGGTAGCAACTTACACAGAGGTACAACTGTTGAGTCTCCTCTGTGGGTAGGAAATGTTCTGTCTCGATTGGGAAGGTTAGCTTTCAGGCAGGGATTTCGCAGAATTGCAGGTTCCCTTCAGAGGCTCCTCTGTGGAGAGGAGCCTTGGGCTCACAGAATCCTTTTCATTATTTCATTCATCTCTCACATGAGACTTCCCATTGTTACATGTGGCATTGCTATGGCCAGCTCACAATTTGGGCATTAACTGCACTATGGGTTGCTAAAGGAGGTGTGTTGCTGGCACATCCTAGCTTCCTCATCCACATTGGCCTGGCAATCTGAGAAGTAGCTTTTCTATAGTTCTGTGTATGTGAAATAGAAAGTGCCTTGTATCTTTATCAACACCCATGTCTTTCTTCCTATCATAAGCATTTGTTGGGCTATTTCAGTCTTCCAAAGAAACATGTAACTTCTATTAATTCTTTTAATTTTTATATGTGGTTTTGGATCAACAAGAACAGCAAAAGTATGTGGTGCTCTCTCTCTCCCAATGAGACTTTCTAATCAGTTTTGTGAAAGAACAGTCCCTTATTGAATTAGAAGAACTGGAGATAGAGAAGCAGCAGCAAAAAAGAGTCTGTGTAAAGAGAATGAGGAGGAGGAGGAGAACCAAACTCTTCTGACATGGATGGTGCTCAGAGGTTCACAAGGGGATGGAGGAAGTGCAAAGTGCAAGATAGCTGTCTCCTAAAGCACAGTTTAAGGAGAATATTAGAAATCTTAAATCTGGACTGTGAGGCCAATCCAAATTCTGAATGCTTTGCGGTTTACAGATTGCTCCCAGGTGCCAGTTGAGTGGAACCATGCTGGATGTTGTTGACAATTGCTCCATGCTGTATCGGCTTCAGTTAGAAGGTAAAAGAGAAACTCCGAAGAGGCTGTGCTCTTGCCTATTTAGGCTGGCAACAGTTTTCTTTTTATTTTATGCATTTGAATCTCTTTGCTCTACATTTCACTCCCTTCCCTGGCTAAACAGAAGAAGGACTGAAAAAGAGCTGGCCTGATCAATACTGTGCATGAGCTACTATAGCGAATCTCACAATTTTCTTGGCTACTTTTCTCTGCCCCTCCCTCTCTTTTGTTTTGTTTCAATGTATTGGGTACCCAGACCAACTGAATTGGGTTAGAGGCAGCTTCCAGTCAACAATGACTGAGATATGAATCCATATAGCCATATATGGCTGTCCAGACATTGTTTTTATTGCATATGCCTAGTGATTTGTGTTCAGGACAGTCATAAGTGAGTCCACTTTCAAGACTTTCACCTGCAAATCTCTTGGGGCTCCTTCATTTCCAATCCTGCATCGTCCTGTTGAAATCCCATAATTTTTCATACAACAAATATTCTGAGAGTTGTTGTTTTTTCTACTACTTTTGTTTTGTTGTGCTATAGTCCTCCAGACAGCAATAATGTGGAAGCATTGCAGAACAAATTAAAGCAGAATTAATCAGCCACTAATACAGCCTTATTATGTCAAAAACATGTTACAGAATAATCTCAAAATCAAAAAACCACTCTGGAGAAGTCCTAAATGCTTATGTATGAGTATAGACATTAAAGTACATATAAAAAAGTGTTTTGCACTCAGTGGCTTTGCAGCAAAAGCTATGCCTCTTTACTCCAAAGTATGTCCCACTGTTTCCAGTGGGGTCTGCTCTGAAGTAAATGTGCATGGCCATGTTTAATATTCTAAGTTGCTTTTTAAAAAACGTGTTAACTTTTCTCCTAGGTCTGAAGGTTGGTGACAGGTGGAAAGCAGTAAACCAGCTGACAAAAAAACATGCCAAAGATCACATCCTGGTTTTCAATGATGCTCATATTCTGATGTCTTCATTAGGAGCCCAGGACCACAAAACTACTGATGAACTCTTAGCAACTCTTCATGAAGTCACCCAGTAAGCAGCAAACAGTTTTATGAATAGGCATTTTCTTCTTCTTAGCTTTTGCCCCCTTTCAGGAGACTGGGTGGGCACTGAACGCCATGTGAAACCCCCTCCTTAGAATTTCTACTCAATGTAAAGATGGAGCTGCCAGACTTCAAGAAGATGTGCAAAGGGTTGAGGGCAACCTTGCACCTAACCCCTGCCCAACCTCGCTTCACGCAAGGAGAATCTACAAGGAGATCTTTTTTTGTATTTAGAGCCAAGTGGAGCTGAGTGAGACATGTCTACCCTGTCTATCTCAAATGGGGTGCTTTCTCTGCTGCAGGAGGGGAGAGGATTTGGCTGTTACTCTCGTACTTGCTATCAGCGGGTACAAAACAGATGTGTTGGGAAATGGTTAGTTTGCTTATTTTAGATGTATAGCCCAGAAATACCATGAAAGCTCAGCTCAAGCACAGGAAGGAAAAAAATAAGCACAATACAGTAAGATGTCATCTAAATTATGGAAATTTCTCTATTGCCCAATTTAATGCTAAGCCCGAGCAGGCAAGTAATGCAGTTCTCTCAGAAAGGCACTCAGGCTATGCAGTGGGAGGAAGACCCACGTTGAGGGGTAGAGCAGCCTCCCTTACATTGTGCCCTTGCTATCTGAACCCAGAACAGAGATTCAAAAGTGATAGCTTGTTGCTGCTTGAAGATGCTGTAAGGTTTACTGTAGTGTCCGGGGCGGACTTTGGTAATCTTCTGTAATATGGTGCCCTGTGCAAGGCCAAAATTTGGTGCCCCCAAATGGAACTTCTGTTATTGATCTTCTCAGTTTTGCACCCCCTCGGCTCAGCACCCTGTGCTGGGGAACCCCCCGCACCACCCTGAACCCAGCACTGGTGGCATAAGCATTTGTGGGCCAGAGCCATTTAATCAGATACATAAAATGATCACCAAGATGGGTAAATAATGAATACCTGGTCATGGTGGAGAAAATAATTGTGCCTTTAAAAAACAAACAAACACAATGAGGCCAAAATTTCAAGCAATGCAAGAGTCAATGCTGTGCAATCTCTGCAAAACGGGATACGAAATATAAACAAATGAGTAAAATGCAATCAACATGGATGTGACCTAGTCCCCAACTAGCCACTGGTGATAAATAGCCATTGCAAGATGGCTAGTGTAAATAAGTGAGCAAGTCAAAGCATTCCAGTACTATTGTGGAACTAAACAATAACCATAGCATTACGGGCTTAATCAACTGTGCATCTTCTGTTGTAATATATATCATTGTCTGCCAACAATGTCCCTCCAGAAGGCCAAGCAGGTTGATCTGTATATGAAGATAGACAGACGCAGTTGAGATACTTGAAAAGGGAACACTTGGAAATCTGCCTGGGAAGCATTTCTTTCTCCCACAACATATTGTAGCAAACCTTAAAGTTAATTTTAAAAAGTTTCAGAGGAAGACCACTCGGGAATTGGAATTGATTAGCAAATTAGATACTGTGGCATTTTGTCCCATAAATCCAGGGGATGGCTGGAGCTTCCCAGCATCTCATTATCTTCCATGTGTCCCAAGTGTGTGTCTCCGTGCGATGCTTTTAAGATGTTGTCTGTGCACACCACACCATACTGAAGTGTTAATTAGGTATTATTTTGTCAAACAAAATGAGTGTTGCTTAACAGCTGTATATAATCTGCTTAAAGATATAAACTGATGCATCAGGTTGGTGGTGTACGACCATCCAGGTAAAATAAAGCAGCTAATTACAACACAATTCCTACAGTAATTACGGTATATTCTGGACCGTTTTGTTAAATAGGTGTTCAGTTTTCTGCCAGAGTTCTGAGTATCTGGATGTGCAAATTCACCAACAACTTACTGGTTTATAAATATTTTGATCTACTTTTTTCGCTTCTCCCTCTCTTTCTCTTCTCCAGGGCACCTGATGAAGACCATGAGCTAAACTTAGTTCCAAAATTAGGGCTGCCTCTTTTGAAAGCATTTGTAGAGTTTGATAATGGCAATTATGACAAGGCAGTGGAATTACTGTATCCCATTCGCTACCAAATTGTCGAAATAGGAGGGAGCAATGCTCAGGTGAGGGAATTTTTTTAATGCTCAGTTTGTTGACTGTTCTGTTCATTGTTGGTGGAATGACATTAAAGCATGAAGAATGGAGGCCAGAGTCGTATCATCAGGAGTGGGTGAGGGCACAGTGAAGGCATAGCTTCAGCTTTGAAAACAAGTTCTAAAAAGAGTCATTGTATTAGGGTTAGTTGAGTACTCCATGGCAGAACTGTTCTGTGATCTTGCTCCATAGATGCCCAGAGCTTGACAGCGTGCGCTCCCCCTGGCTAAAGGTGTGTTTTCCTGCTAGAAGCTGCTTCCATTCTGCTTCATAGTCTCTCTGTAACTCTACAAATGTAGACATAGTAAGCAACCATTCTTTCACGCTGGTTGAAAGACGATCACTCAGGGCAAATGCTGCCACTCTCTGAATGCTATGAAAAGGCAGTTATTAAGCCGCTTCTTTAAAAGCATCTTTGGACCTGGTCAATATGGCCCAGTCTCAAATCTTCCATTCTTGAGCAAGGTGATTGAGCAAGAGGGTTTTTCAAGGGTTTCCAGTGGTTTAGAGAGTGGCTGGGGAGACTCAGCCAGATGGGCGGGGTATAAATAATAAATTATTATCATTATCATCATCATCATTACAGTGGTACCTCGCAAGACGAATGCCTCGCAAGACAAAAAACTCGCTAGACGAAAGGGTTTTTTGTTCTTTGAGCTGCTTCGCAAGACGATTTTCGCTATGGGCTTGCTTCGCAAGACGGAAACGTCTTGCAAGTTTGTTTCCTTTTTCTTAACACCGTTAATACAATTGCGACTTGACTTCGAGGAGCAACTCATAGAACGCAGCGTGGTAGCCTTTTTTGAGGTTTTTAAAGACTTTGGTGATTTTTGAAGCTTTTCCAAAACTTTCCCGACACCGTGCTTCGCAAGACGAAAAAAATCGCAAGACGACAAAACTCGCGGAACGAATTAATTTCGTCTTGCGAGGCACCACTGTATTATTATTTTCAGGCTTTTTCAGTGGTGTTCCCAATATACATTATTTCACATGTGATGCCTTGGAACATAACCCCTGCATCAATGAGTAGTTGCCTGAATGATGCATTTGAATGATGTGTTTGAGTATCTGAAGCATTTTGCATTGCTTGCTCTCCTGAGCCATCTGGTGAACTGAGCCGGCACTTACCTGTTTCACAGCTTACACCCATATACCAAATATAATAGATAGTTGATATGCAGTCCGATCTTCCCCAACAATTCCAGTCTTATTCTGTTTCCCTATGATCAGTAGCAACAGGTATCGCGTGCACTGCCTTGACCCCGCGCGATGTCAGCATGCAATGTATGCATTCCCCATGGAGTGTGCACATGATGTAAGCACACCTTGCTGTGTGCATGCATGATGTCAGTATATCCCGCAGTGTGGTCGTGCCGTGCATGCATGCCCCATAGTGTGCTGACATCACCACGGGGCAGGCTGATGTGTTGCTCAGATGCCCCATGGTGTGTGCATATGGCCTTTGTGGAACTTTGTGAGGAGTGTCCCCTTCATTGAAAATTTTAAGGGGGCCCTCCTACTTGGCGTGCCTGACAGGTACTATATAACAGAAGCAAATTGGTATTGTCTGATATTGAGCCCTTGGTTGCCTTTGTTGAATCACTTTACCAGCAATGTACTCAGGGAATTTGGGCTGCAATATTAATTTACTGTTCCATGTGGTATTTAAAGGAACTAACAGGCAAGTGAACACAAAAACAGTAGCAAATCCAAACTATAGTTATGGATAAATGGTTAGCAATTGGGATTTCTCTCCCAATGCCAATCCCCCATAACTTATCTTGTGGTGTTATCTTTTTTCCAGAGAGATATTTTTGCCCAGTTACTGATTCATGCTGCTTTGAAATGTAAATCTAAAGCTAACCAAAAACTTGCTAGGTAAGTGCCACCTTCTGAAAAATACAAATTTCTGTTTATTACTTGAATTAAGCATTGGGATGTATTCATAAATGTGGGGGGTGGGTGGCAATGGCCAGTGAAGGGAGGAAGGATGGAATCTGCCCAGCTGAAGCAATTTTGTTCTATTGAAACTATGGCAGCCCTACCTGTTTATATCCCCTTAGGGGGAATGTGAATGTTCTCCTTATGTTAACCATCAGCTGCAGACTTCTGCTACTGATCTAATAACTATACAGCAACACAGAATTGAGGGTCAGAGTAGGTTTAAATCAGGGGTTGGCAACATGTGGCCCATGGGCCAGATCCAGCCCACGAAGACCATTTTACTGACCTACGAGCCACCCGCTCAGCAAGTCCTCTGCATGCTGTGCTAAACCAACGCAGTGCGGTGTGGGGACTCGCTGAGCGGCACCGGAAATCACATCTGCGCACACGCAAATACCAGAAATCACTTCTGCACATGCCCAGGTGCCGGAAATCACTTCTATGCAGGCGCGATTTTCAGCGTCTGGGCATGCACAGAAGTGATTTCCAGTGCCACAGACATGCACAGATGCGATTTCCGATGTAGCGCTGCGCTGGTCCGGCCCACAGACAATCTCTGTGGGAGTGATCCGGCCCATGGCTGGTAAGCCTTGCTGACCCCTGGTTTAAGTGGTGGTTTGACTGATGCTTTTAAAATGTCACAAGGAGTAAAGCACAGTCACATTCTGGCTTCCACTCTCTTTAACTTTTATATTAATGATTTGGCGCCTTATTTAGCCAATGCAAACTCCCCCTCTCCAGTAATATTAGGAAGAGAAAGATCTCCATATTAATGTATGAAAGTGATTTAGTGATCGTCTCTCTTCCCAACTGAGTCTCAAAAATATCTTGGAGGTGTTCAACATTTACTGTAAACAGGAAGGTCTGTCTATAAATTACTCCAAGATTGTGGTTTTTGGCAGGCACAATCCTAGTTACAGATGGTGCTTGGATCAGCAGTCTATAGAACAAACTTCTTCATTTAGATATCTGGGTGTACTCTGCAATGAAGCTCAAAGCACAGAAAACCACAGGGGCATTGATAAAGTTCTATTACAATACGGAAGGGGAGCTGATAGAACCTGCCGACCAGGCACCAGGCTGGTGAAAGCTGCTCTCCATATGCTTATCCTGTAAGGAAACAAAACTCAGCCCCCTTTCTCCTTTTCTGCCATGGACTTTTTTATCATGCCCTTCTAGGCAGTTCAACACATTGCCATTGTGTTGTGTTTCTCTCTCCCTTCTGGATGATATATATGGAGATATGTTTCCAGCAGGAAACTAGGAAGAGTGCTCTGGTTCACACCTTTGGTTCCAACTTGCTCCATTGCCCCTGGTCTCTCAGGTGTTCCAGGGAGGGTTGTGTCCCCATCCGGCATAGGCTAGGTCCACTACTCAGTCCTGGCACCCAACAGAACTAGTAAGTTTTGAGCTCGCTGACTCAGTGCACTGTTGTCTGATAGGGCTGGCTGTCCCCTGACTTGCTGGGAGAGAAGCACTTTGAGTGGGGAGGAAGCATCACTGTGAGGCATTTTAAACACTCCAAAAAAGAAGCAGAAGAGGAAACATTGAGTGGTCTGCGCTTCCTCCCTTCTCACCACGTTCCACTCAAAGCAGAGAAATGTAGATCTTGTACATGACATTCTGACAACACACATTTCTCTCTTTTCAAAGAGACTTGGAAAGAAGAAGCTAAGCATTATATTTCGCTCACACTTTATCTCGCCCTGCTTTTCTGGAACATTAAAAGTGGTTCTGTGTCACAATACCCTCAAGAACCCATTTTGTCATGATTGCTATAATATTACGATTGCAAAATACTGGAAAAGCAATACAATTCCAACAAAAGGCGAATAGTTACTAAAATTAAGCAAATATCTTGAATTGGCGAAACTAACTGAAATAGTAAGAAATCAATCAAGTGAAAAAATCAGGGGAGAATGGGATGTCTTTATAAATTATATGAAGAAGGTAGGTTCCCCAAATTACGATTGGCTCAGTCTAGATTAAAAACTCCACAGGTAAACAAATTATCTCTCCACAAAGTTTAAAATGACAACCAAAAAATATGAGATTATGGGAACCATGTAGTAGTTGAAGGAAGTAAAAAAGAAATTCTCTTTTTCTCTTTTTCTCTTGATATTTTTTTTTCTTTTCCTACTTTTCTTTTTATTATTCATTTTTTGGTACATGTTAGTTAAGGTAATTTGTATTATTTGTATAACTGTATTTCTTTTTGTTTGTATGTAATATCAATATTGCAAATAAAAATTAAAAATAAATGTTTGCTATAATATGCCAGAGGGCCCCAAACAATAGTGTGAATAACTGCTCAAGCAAGATTCCTCATGTTGCACTTCTTTGGGTGTATTATATAGTACAGTGGAACCTCGTGGTATGTCCCGTCCCCCTTGCGAACGCTGCGGGTTACGAGCTCCACTAACCCGGAAGTAGATGCTCCCGGTTGCGACCTTTGCCCCGTGCAGAAGTCGCACGCCAGCAGCAGCGGGAGGCGCCATTAGTGAAAGCGCACCTCGTGTTACGAGTGGTTTCAGGCTGAGAATGGACCTCCAGAACGAATTAAAGTCGTACCACTGTGGAGGTACCACTGTAGTACATCTTCTACTCTTAGATTTAATGTCATAGAATTGGTAAGTGCTTTATCACTAGGGGTTTTTGTTTGTTTCACAGATGTAGATGAAATATCGATAAGATGCCGTGGTAAGGTAGCACTGCTCCTAACGTGATTTTTATTACTATATAAATCACTTTGGAGCTTCTAATGGGATGCAGTTCTCAAAAGCATTAAACTAAGTAACTTGAGCTCTTAATGGAGAGGCTTTTACAAAAAACAGTAACAATGGAGTGGGCCTGTTAACTTAGATGAACATTGACCAGTCAAAGGATTCTGTTCAGGGAAGTTTTAGTGTTTGATGCTATATTGTGTTTTTACTATTTTTTGTTGGGAGCCACCCAGAGTGGCTGCCCCACCCCAGGCAGATGGGCAGCAGATAAATATATTATTATTATTTATACTCTTCACCTTCAGGTGCCTCCTTCTAGAACGTGATGAGCTGAGACCAAATTCACCATTGACTGAGCGACTGTTGCAGAAGACCACAGCCCTTCATGCTCTGGGATAAACCTCGGAAAAGCCTTGTTGTTCAACAGATTCGTCATCAGCTTTACTAATCAACAATTTCCTATTATGGCAAGAAGCAAACCACATTGAGGAGACACTATGTTGCATTTTTTCACTTCAGCTTTTGCACCACTTTCATAAAGCGCATCTGCATAAAGCGCACTTTCATAAAGCGCATCTGCATGTGCGCGGGTCGCGTTTTGCTGCTTCCGCACATGCATGTGACGTCATTTTGACCGTCTGCGCATGTGCGAGCGGCGAAACCCAGAAGCAACGTGCTCCGTTACTTCCGGGTTTCCGCAGAGCGCAACCCAAAAATACTTATCCTAAAGCGTATTTATTTATGACTGTACTGCTGTTTCCGGAATAGCATGGGATGAAGTTGTATGGTATAACTGGGAAATTAATGCACCAGTACTGTAAAAACTGCATTGCCTTTGTGCCTTGGCAGCCTCAGAAACTATTATCATGATGCAATTAATAGTTTGGGGACTACAGGTTGAATACACAAGTTTTGTAATACACATTTTTCCACATGGTACCTCCAAAAGTGCCTCGGGTATGCTTGTGAATATATCTTGTGGACAACCTTGGAGTATGGAAGTGTTTTCTTTCATTTGGGGGGCGGGGGATTATGGCAATAGTTGCTTTACGTTATTTCCCTGCTCTCTTATCATTTGTAAACTGGAAAATGTTATCATATAGTTACAATGTTCTCTTCTTAACTAAATTGTGTGTAAATCAACAAGAGCAACTGTGGATCTGATCTGATAGAATAACATTTTTTTCATTAATGCCTGTAATTTCCAACAATATTTTTATGACTAGGAATTGATGCCATGTAGTAAAAATAGCCTTGTTTTTCGCAAAACATTCAATGCCCAGAATTGTAGTGAGTGTTTGTTAATCATGCTTTGGCGGGGGCGGGGGAGCGGTACTGGAATAATTATGCAAACTATAATTTTATTAATAATTTTATCTTCTGTTTATGCATAAAAATTGTTTCCCATTGACCACAAACATCTCCATGTTTCTGTTTGAATAACATTACCTGTGCCCGTCTTACCATACGTTTTGGACAATGAACATTTTATGTAATTCATTAATGGAATGGAAATTTGTCACTATAATTGCTGCTTCCCAGGGTAGAAATGAAACAGTTCTTTAACAAAATTTAATTTTTGGATATACAGTTCAGCAGAAGCTCTCATTCAGAGTAACAGATAAAATTTTATGAGCATATACATATGATCTTCCAGTGGTTCTTTTTTTTTTTTGCGCCAGCTCCTCACACTTTATGCGCTTCTTCCTACATTAGGTTTGTGGTATGAGAACTGCCGTGTGCTGCCTTCCTGTGACACATGGATAGCATGAGAATACTCAGATGATGTGGGAACAGCATTTTACAAGCGCTCATCTTAAGAGGCCCAGAATTTCTTTTTTATTAACACTTAACACCTTGCAAAAACTAATCCTCTTTGGTCACTGAAAAATAATACAATAGAAAAGCCATGTTTTTTTAAAAAAGCAAGCAACTAGCAAACACAATCTCATATGTAGTGATAAAATCACCAGCATCTCTTTTGAATGTGGTAATAAGGACAAAGTACAGGTTATAGAGGAAGAAAGGAAAGAGACAAGGCTGCTCTTACTGTCTACTCTTGACTGTAAAGAATTGTAAGTAAGCAATGAACTTTATCTTATTTTTTGCTTCGCTCACCACTCCTCTGCCTCCCGCAATACTCTCTAAGGTGCATTAAGACAATTCCAATTATTGTGGATATTTCTCCTAATCTCCACTATGGGCCATGGCAAGCGGCCAAGGGACCTGGATGAGGCAATGCCTCCCCCGAGGCCCAAACAGTCTAAGATTGATTCTTTCTTTCTTAACTGTAGCAGAAATAACAAGGAAGATAGCTACACGGTTGAAACTCACAATCGTTTTAATCCTTTAATTGACCTCGTACCCGATATAGAAGTGGAGGGGGTGAACTCGAAGGCAACGAAAAATGCTAATGATAATGACAAAGAAGTGAGAGTCACCTCGAAGGGGAGTCCGAGTTGGCCCTGGGCGATGGTTTGGGATTCGAGCATTTCCAATTAATAACCAGGACCCTGCGCTGCATCTTTAAGAGCATAAATGGGATCTCCATGCAGGTGAATAATCTCCACCAAAAGCTTGAGGCCCATTTGCTGGAGCTGCAGCACAACCTCACTCTGCCTCCGAGGGATTTAAAGAGACAGTGGTGTACCTCCCCTGTTAGACATGAAAGTGGTACTGGTGTTCATCTCCTAAAATCTCAACTGGACTTTCAATCTCTGATCTTACAACCAAACAAAATATGTCTAACTATACGCAGCAGTGACCCCAGGTCCCCAAGGTGGATTAACCCGAGAGAGGTCAAAGATCATCTAAGGCAACTCCTTCAGATTAGGCCTCCGCTAATAGATCTCAGTACAGTGAAACTTTTATACTACCACCATCGGTTCCAAAAAGTACTGCTCTCCTTCCAGTCACCAAAAATTCCCTCCATACTGGTTAGGCGCAAAGCGTTATTGGCCACCTGGGGCATCTTCCCAACGAGAGTCTTTAATGACACCAGGACTAAACCTCTTTTCCGTAGCATCGTACAAAAAGGTATCCGCTCGCCAGACAGGCGCGACATAGTCTTGAAACTCAAGCTGTCCACCCAGGAACCTCACCCTCCCTCTCAGCCCAAGCTTCCTGGTTTATCTACTCCAGCAACAGAGAAGCATGACCAAAGCGGACCCAGTCATCTGGCTTCCTCAGAGGAGAGGGACCTTATTTCATCCTATGGCGAGTTGCCATTAGTAGAACAGCAGGAAGTTATAAACAGGCTTGATACACTCAAGCAGCAACTTACACATGTACTTCAAGAGAAAATCTCCTCAAAACCTGGTCATAGCAACCTATTAAATCAAAGGAACGCAGTCATGAAGGGGCTAACACCCCAGAAACCCCTGCCAATCACTGGGACTCCAATAACGGATGATATGGCAGTCTGCCTGGCGGAAGCTCCTCATACACCGTCGCAACGCAGACCCTCTTCACCTCTACTAATAGATTTGCAATCAACTACCTCGTCCCTCGCCTTAAAGAGCAATATGCCAAACACCATTCATCCAGGTAATCTGTCAATGTCCTATTCTTCCATGCCTGACCTGGAGTCCTCATTCAGTGCGGTCCAGGCAGATGACTGTATATCCTCGTCCTTTGTCAGTCAACCTCGTTTGGTAGAACCTCTTGTATCCGTAACCTCTTCAAGCCAATATATAAACGTTAAGGAAGCCACTGTGCAAAGAGACAGCTCAGGCTTTATTGAAGACCCTGCTGGCCACATCAATCAAATTACCACCCCTTCGATACCTTCGGCTGTATCACGCCTGGCGCGGTCTCAGACCCTTGGCAATGCTTCTTCCACCAGCAACCAGAGTATCTGACTAGCACATAGTCCCTCCCCAAACTGCTTCAATGTGCTATCCTGGAACGTGGCGGGATGGACGTCCAAACAGGATGGCGGGGATATGATAGAGTTTTTAGCGAAATTCCAGATTATGGGTATACAAGAGACCTGGTGCTTAGAATCGTCACCCCCCCCTTCCCTACTGGGCTATGATGCTTTTGTGATTCCTGCGACCAAAACACATTTGTATGGGCGCCCTAGTGGAGGCCTGGTAACATTTGTTTCGCAGGAGCTTCATCTTAATATCTCTCCTCTCCTTTGGTTAGAGAGTAATTGTATTCAAACTTTGCACATCACTAACAGCCCGGTTGGGGACTTCATATGTGTTAACTTGTACAATCCATCTACCTACTCCTCTTCCCATACAAATCGGTTTTGGGAGGATCTAAGATTTATCCTTGATAAATCTGTGGCTGAATTCCCAAAGTCAGAGATCCTCATAATGGGGGACTTTAATGCCAGAATCGGAGCAGATATAAGCTCATTCACCGATAAGTCGCAACTATTCATAGAAGAGGAGTGGTTTCCTACGTGGAATTCACATGACAAGACCATTAATAGGGCTGGCATCATACTGCTGGAGTTTACCATTAACTGCGGGCTGCACAGCTTGCATGGTACACCCAAAGACTGGTCCGGGGGATGCTATACTTTTCTAGGATCTAGAGGGGCAAGCGTTATAGATTATATCTGGTCCTCCTCGGCACTTAATGATAAGGCATATTGTTTCAATGTGTTCAACAGAACCGAAAGTGACCACCTTCCTATTGCCATCTCCTTCCACCACACACAGCTGGGGCTCCCAGCTCACTCCTCCTCCAGGATTCACTGACCTTAGCCCCGGTCGTAAGAAGTGGGATATCTATCTGGAGCAAGACATAAAAGTCCTCCTAAATTCCCCTGAGATCCTAGCCCTGAAAGCTCAGCTGGTAACAATGAATGTGAATCATTTCTCAAGTTTCCAACAAATTCTAGCCTACTTGCTCCCAACACTTACGAAACCCTCCCGTGCGAGTCTAACCTGGAAGAATCAAACTTGGTTCGACCAAGAATGCAAACAGTGCAGAAGTAGGCTTAGATTTCTTCAGTCTGATATGAAATCAGACAGCACCCAGAGCAAAATCAGGGAGTTAGCCCAATTCCGTTCTTACTACAAGAAGTTGCTCCAACATAAGAAATTGATCTTTGCGAAAGAACGCTGGACGGCATTGTCAGTGGCCATTAAAACCCGTGACGACAAGAAATTCTGGAATTTAATTAATGCAGGTTTAAGACCCCCCTCATTCATCGTTAATAACATCACAGCAGCCAGTTGGCACTCTCACTTTGCTCAGCTGTATTCCGCCCCAGATTCCGACGTAAACGCAGTTTCCACTCTTCCTGCATCTGCCTTGCCCACCTGGGAGCCAGTCTCCCCAGAGAGATGTGTACAACTAATTAGCATGTTATCAGGGGATAAATCCCGGGGAGGATATGATTCCACCCGAGGTATTCTTATTGAACCAGATGTGGTGGGCCCCTATTTTTGCATCTCTCTTTACCACTATTAATGCCACTCTTAAGATCCCGCCAAATTGGAAACAGAGCATAGTCATCCCAATACATAAAAAGGGGGACCCACAAGATCCGCGTAACTATCGACCCATCAGCCTGCTAGACATATCATACAAGGTTTACTCTAGATTCTTGCTAGAGAAATTAATCGAGTGGGCAGAAGAAACAAAGCTATTCCACTCGGAACAGGCTGGCTTCCGTAAAGGTCACAGTACATCTGGCCAATGTCTTGTTCTATTTACCCTGATTGATAAATACCTAAACAGGTTTAACTGCAAACTACACGCGGCTTTTGTGGACCTGACCTCCGCTTTTGACTCCATTCCCAGAGATAGGCTATGGCAGAAGCTTAGTTACACCAACATAGATAAGAGACTCCTCCTTCTTCTTATGGAAATTCATAATGACATATCGGCCAGAGTAAAATTCGGCCCCCTGGGAGCTCTTTCTGATTCTTTCCCTCTGAATAAAGGGGTCAAACAGGGCTGCCTCTTGGCCCCTTTTCTATTCAATTTCTATATCAACGACATCGTTACAACTATGCAGGCCCTAAATCAATCTGCCCCCTCTCTACAACAGCTCAAGATCCCCATATTACTCTATGCGGACGACATGGTGATACTGTCTTTAACCAAGCAGGGCTTAAACAACATGCTCAGAGGGCTCATGACATATTGTGATACCAATTCCCTCAAAATCAATTTCGCCAAAACCAAAATTCTTACTTTTGGCACGAAAACTCGGAAGTCATTCTGGAACTTTGAGGGCCACTCTATTGAATATTGCTCAGCTTTCAAGTATTTGGGAATCACTTTTCAGCATGGGCTTAGCTGGTCAGCTCACCTAAATATGACCATCCTGGCTGCCCGTAGAACCATCAAAGCCTTGGAGAAATTCTTCTATGCAAAAGGCGGCCAGTTGGTTCCACCAATCAGAAAAGCATTTATTAGCAAAGTCCTCCCGATGTTACTGTATGGGGTTGAAATCTGGGGGTGGAATTTAAAAACACTACAACGGCTGGAGATTCTACAAAACTCTTTTGCACGAAAGATACTGGGTCTCCCCAAGGGCTCGGTTGCTGCTCAGTTAAGAACAGAACTGGGCCTCCCTCCATTGTTGCGAGAGCCCACATTAGAATTATTAGTTTTTATTGCAAATTAATCAATGCCCCAGGTTCCCTACTAGCCAGGCAAGCCTTTTTAACTTGTTCTCACTCCAACAAATGGTCCAAGGCCATGGAGACTATTACTGTACGCTACTCCCTCCCAGAATTCGACACGTTGTCATCTTGGGACCAACATAAAATCCGGGCCTGGATTCTTATAAGAGATGAGGCCATGGACCGGGCACAGTCCACCTCAGCTCGCCTCTCCATGTGGCTCCCTAAAGTGAAAGTGGTAAGATCACTTGCCAACTACTTGATAGACCTGACGGAGCCCAATTTGAGAAGAGCGTTTACAATGGCCCGTTTTCATTCTATACCCACGGCCTTCCTGCAGGGGACCTACTCTAAGACCCCTATTACTCAGCGTCTATGTCCATGCACAATGAATGAAGTAGAGGACTTCATACATTTCTTTTCTACTGCCCTATTTATGACCCAATAAGACCTAAGCTCCTCCTCTTGATCCCGTCCTCCATTTCATCTAAGGAAGACTGTCTGAAAGCACTTCTTGTGGACGCAAATCCCCAAATTTCACGTGGGGTGGCAATCTTCACAGTGCAGGCTCTGAAACTCAGGGCTACTCTGACAGGGTAGTGTGCCCTAGTCCTGGACCTGTTTAATTCTTTTATTACCTTTTTAACTCAATGTGCTGAGCCTATTTTGGGGCCATTTTATGCTTTATTTATATCCGCATACTAGTTTTTTGGCGCTGGCAACCAAATCTCTGTATTATTGTCTTAGGGTGTTTTAAATGTCATTACGCCAGCAATATCGCTTTGAATTTTGCTTGGTTGCTTGTCCCCAACATTTTTT